AGAGTGCCATGGCATCACACAGCTCATAGCAACCTCCAACTCCTGGGCTTAGGCAATTCTCTTGCCTCAGCCTCCCAAGTAGTTGGGACTACATGCTCCTGCCACAACGCCCAGCTATTCTTTTGTTGCAGTTTGGTCGGGGCCGGGTTTGAACCCACCACCCTCAGTATATGGGGCCAGTGCCCTAACAGCTGAGCCACAGGCACTGCCCCTACTTATTTTATTTTTTTAAGACTTTATTATTTTTATATTCAGAAATGTAGGAATGCTCAGTCTTTATAGTGAAATAATAGAAAACTTATTAACTCATAGCTTTTTAATAAGACCTAAATTTGATCTCTCTGTGCTTTCTTTCTCTTGCCAACTCCTCCCCCACCCCTAAGGATTTCTGTTTTCACAAACCAGTGAGAAACCCAATGAATCAAAAGGAAATGTCATTATTTTTTTTTTAGATTTACCCAGCTTCTTTGTCTTTTAGATTTGTTTCTTTAAGCCTCAAGTGATTCCCAGGATCCAAGACAAATGAACATTAGAATATGAACAATCAGGTTTCAGGACTGGGAATATCAAGACAAATGTTTATTTTCAACTCTCCTGGAGGAAAAAATGGACACAGACTTCATGTTCACAATACCTTGTAAATTCAACTACCATTACTTTTTTGTCCCCCTTAAATTCAGCTACCCACTGGACTTCAGAGGAAGCGTTCTTCCTCTTTTGCTTTGAGATGCCATGCCATTTTCTCACCCCCTTTTTCTTTCTTTCCCCCAATATTTCTTTCTCACTCCCTACTCTCTCTTTCTCATCTCTTCCTCTCACTCTCTTCCCTCTCTCTAATATAAAATAAACTTACACATTTATATCCTAATCTCAGTCTAGAAAAACTCTTTTCTCATCCTGCATTCAGCAACTACTGAGCAACTGACCTTTTTAAAACCTATCAAGAAACACAAAGATTTTTTAAAATCCATTAGAATTGAATTAGATTCTAAGAGAATATCAGTACTATCCTCCAAATCCATTATTGTGAGGTTTTTTCCCAGTAGTAAGCACAAAATATCTGTATAATTGAGTGAGCTATTAAAAATATAATTAAGAAATCTCTTAATATGTCTGAACTAAGAATAAAGAATCAATTCTTATTACCCCATCCACCAGTGTGAAAAGGGTAGCATACTCATGAAGCTTACAGAATACAGGGTGTCCATCTAAAATGGGGCAAATATTATTATTAAGCATATATATATATATTTACTAATTAAAAATAGTTTCATGTTGACATCATCCTAATAAAGGATAAATAAAACAATTAGAGAAACAGATTATGCAATGTACAAGTGAGTTCTCAGAGAAGGACTAGAAACTTTGGTGATAATAGTTAATAAACCTCTCTAAAGTAAACAAGGGTGGTCAACATCTGCTTTACAGTTGAATGTGATTTTTCTGCCAGTAGGGCCTGATTTTATTGCTTATGTACTACTCTCTCCCTCATACCCAGAGATGGGGGATCAATGATGAACAAAGATTAGAGATTGGGTGAAAATACCAGTTTTACACATTAATGGTAGCCTAATTGCATCAAAGTGTCTGCCTCAAAATACTATATGTCTACAAAATGTGAAGGGCAATCATGGTCATTCTTTTGTAGATGAAGGAATTTTTTTCTTCATTTTAATCTCTTATTTTACTTAGTAGGCCACCTCTTGGCTGGCAGCAAATATTAATATCACTCTGTGTGACGGCAGAGGTGTGTGTGTGTGTGTGTGTGTGTGTTAAATTCTTATTTTAGCAAGTATAGCTGACTGGATGAGCCCACTTAACACCCATTCTCTGTTCACACATAAAGTTCATTCAAAATAATACTGCTATTCATAGTAGTGAGTTATTGATCTAATATTTTACCAGGCTGTTTGACATGTCAAATGTTTCTAATTAAATTTTCATTGATTTCATTGTTCATTAAAATGAACAAGGCTCAGGTTTGAAAGCTCTTCACACAGCACAGAAATATAAATGTAAATATATATACGGAGGAAGGCGAAACTTGCTTTTTCCCTGAAAATTGGCTGAAAGATCAACTCACAATTATGGCAGATTAATAAGAGAAATGTTTATTTCCAAATATCATGTGCATGGGGAGAATCACAAGAGCAATTCCCCATTGTATTAATAATGGTCAGATACCTATATACCTGCATTTTAGAGGGGAGAGAGGAGAATGTGGAGTATAGGTGCAACAAGTGGTTGCTAGGAAGGATGAATAGATGGGTGACACATATTCACTTGTAAATTTACCTGAGAGACAGATATTGTATTTTAAATTATTTTAGTCAGGTCTGCTAGTATTCTGGGGGAGAAAAGGAAGTCAGTTTCCACCCTTTGATCTTTTCATCAGGTCTGACTGGTTTTATATAGACAAAGGAAAAGCCCTATCCAAATACTTTCTTATCTCAAATGACCCATAATTCAAAGTATTCTTTATACCTAGTCATATTTTGTTGTTAAATTTCCTTAGCGCCTTCATATGCAACTTATTTTAAAGATTTATTTTTCTTTTTTGAGACAGAGTCTTACTTGGTCACCTTCAGTAGAGTGCTGTGGCATCTTAGCCTACAGTAACCTCAAACTCTTGGGTTTAAGTGATCCTCTAGCCTCAGTTTCCCAACTAGCTGGGACTACAGGCACTCACCACAATGCCTGGCTACTTTTTAGAGATGAGGTCTTGCTCTGGCTCAAGTTGGTCTTGAACCTGTGAGCTCAGACAATCCACCCACCTTGGCCTCCCAAGTGCTAGGATTATAGGTATGAGCCACTCCTCCTAGCCCTATTTTCAAGATTTTTTTAGGTTGATTTTTGTTGGGCATCTAGTGGATCCCAACCTGGGACAGTGGTCAGCAAAGGAGACAGCTCGGGGGAAATTAAAAAGCTTACACCAAACTTAATGCATAAAACCAGAAGCCTATAAGGGCATACATTGTGTCATGTGTCAACCTGAAACAATGCAGCAACCTGTCCTTCTTCCTGGAACATTTTTGTTGGGTACATAACAGAGTTAGTATGCACCGCAGTCAGTAGTTAGTACTCAAGGTTACAAATGAGAGAGGGGAGATTACAGCCCCCAGGAAGGTTTGGTAAAGGGTAAACAGGAACATAGGGTATTAATGTAACAGCTGAAGTGGCCAGATAAAGGTGCAAGCAGGAGAGAAGGGGCAGAGTAAGTTTCATATCCTCAGGCAGACATCTAAGCTTCTCTAGCCTAAGCTACTAGTTTATGGTCTCAGCTCACCTGCGCTGCTGATTTCCCTTTGCAGGGATAGTCAGATAAACATTCCCCTGCTTGGGCAATTTACCCTAAGTTAGAAGGTCTGTGATGAATTCAGCCTGTCTACCTCCCACAGATTTTTAGCTATTTTGTACACCCCTCCCCCACAAAAAGAAACCCAAATATCCTTTTAAAGTCACTTAAAAACTAGCATTTCTGAAATGTATTTTTTTTATTTTTCCACCTAGAAAAGTTATTAGGTGACCAGATACAGAACAGTTTAAAATTTTATCTAGTATTATAATATAGTAGATAAGATCTTAGATTCCAAAATGAACTTTCCTATGCTAAAATCCAAGACCAATCATTTACTATAACTAGTTATATAATTTGGGGGAGTTTCTCAACCTCTCCAGGTATGTCTGTCAATTTCTTGTTTATAAGCCATCATAAAGTCACCGTGAGGATGAAATAAGACATGTAAAGCTCCTTAAACTGTACCTGGCACATACTGACCACTAAATCATTACCCTTTTTCACTCAACAGAAAAAAAAAAATGGCTAGCATGCTGGATTACATTCTCCTACTCTAAAGAATGGTGCTGGTATACTAGGTCCTGTGGTATATATACACATCAAAAAGATATCCCTTTCCTGAAGTCACCCTCAGTGAACATTACAGAGTTGGGTGGTGCTGAAGTGTATTGCAAGGAAAAATCTGTTGGGTAAATAGGCATTATGATTGGAATTTCAAGGAGGAATAAGTGTTGAACACATTTAAATCTCATTATATCAGGTGAGACACCTCTGAAGACTTGCACCTAGATATTAAAAAGGCAATCAACCTCAGTGTTTTCTGGGGCACCTATATGGTCAATATAAATTCCTTCATAAAAAAATGCAAAACAATAGATAAAAATGTTAAAATGCAAAGCATTTGCAGAATGTTTAGGTTTACTTGATCTTCCTCCCTTTCTAAATAGCAATTCATTTAGACAAATCTGCTTCAATGTATGATTGAAAAGCATACTAGGCCTAAAGCAAGTAAACAGGTCCATAAATTATTAGAACCAGATCCCATAGTAATATCTTTTAACTGTAATTATTAATAGGATTTGGCAATGAATGCAAATATGTCTGTAAAAAATTAGTGTTACTAGACTAATACCCCGTTTTGTTCTAAGAATCTGTAATTATAAGACTTATGCTCATAACTATCTTTGCTAAGCTTAAGAATGATGAAAAAGGCACTTTCATATGACATTTGTGAATTCTTTTTCTAACAAGTTTTGGTTGGATGTCTTTGTAAATTTTCAAGCCCATGGGCTTGAAAGCTCTGGCTTCATCTCTGAAATTCTACATTTCTGCTTTTTACAGACTACTTCTTTACCTAGTAGGCAGTCTAACAGCTATCTCTGTGGCAAGACAGGCCCCTCCTGGCAGGGAAACCTGCCAGATGAATCCGCCCTTCAGGGGCGTGTCGATACTATTTCCTGGAGCAATTCCACAGGGTGGCTCCACTTTCCATTTGAGTTCAAATACTTTGCTGCCTCCTCTGCAGTTGCAGAACCTGCTCCAGCTGCTACTCAGGTAATGCTCATGTCTCCTGGCACCTCTGTGGGCAGAAGCGGTTGATAAATTGCTTTACAGGTTTGCTGCCTGCCCTTTCTTTTATTGTATTTCTGTGTTTATTCTTTAGGGACAGCATCTGGGGAGTTTCTTGATGACCACTGAGAAGATGAGATCAAGTTATTGGAGTAAGACCAGCAGCAGAAGCTGTGGGACCCAGCAGCCCCCAGAAGTGCTGCAATACCAGCCCCGGTATTACCGTAACTACTATCAGTCAAGCCAAGCCCAGCAGCTGCCAGAAAAAAATGTACTGTATGAGCGAGTGAGAACCTACAGTGGGCCCATTAACAAGGTGGTGCAGGCCTTGGACCCCATCAACTCACAAGAAAAGCTATCTCCTCTCAAAACTTCCTCCTCCTACCAAAATTTGATTTGGAGCGACCATTCCCAGGTACCATAAAGAGAGCTATGCCAAGCTAGTGGAGAGGGGAAAATCTTAAACCTGGTTTCTCTTTCTGCTTCTTTGCCTTTATACAGACTATCTCTGTTGCCTCTTGGCTGTTGTTTTTCTTACTAGTGCCTATGGTTGTTTGTTTCCAGTTCCAGTGATTTTCATAATCTAACCAGAGTATAGGAGGGCTCATTTTCTATTGGATTTGATTAGAAGATCTGATATAAGTTGTCCTTTTCCCCCCTACCACAAAGCAATCGTCACCTTGAATACAGTAGTTTTTTTAAAACAAGTTACCAATGATTCATTTCACTTCATAGAAACAAACACCATTATATCTGATCCAAATATCGAATATAGTGGTGCAGGGACAATGGTATACATGGAGTAATAAACAATTATTTGTGTTCAACAAATAGTATACTGCCCCAGGATAAGTGACAGGTGCAAATGTCTGTTGTCATGTGTTTCATCTTCTGAAAATGCCACATTGATTCTACAGCCTAGGTGAATAATTTATAGAATATTGGTAGAAACAATGCTTAAAGAGTGAATATTGGATTGAGTAAGACATTCTATAAGCAATTATTATATGAAAGCTAAAATAGATAGAACTCTAAGACATCTTATAAAATGAAATGATTTTTAAAAATTTTTTTTGAGACAGAGTTTCATTGTGTCACCCTCAGTAGAGTACTATGGCATCACAGCTCACAGCAACCCCAAACTCCAGGGCTTAAGTGATTCTCTTGCCTTTAGCCTCCCAAGTAGCTGGGACTACAGGTGTTCACCACAATGCCTGGCTATTTTTTTGTTGTAGTTGTCATTATTGTTTAGTAGGGCTGGGTTGGAACCTGCCAGCCCCAGTGTATGTGGCCAGCACCCTAACCACTGAGCAACAGGCGCAGAGCCATGAATTTGTTTTTTTAAGGGATTTATTTAAACATCAATACCTGTGCCAATAATGTTGCCAATAAATAAAATGTAACATTGTAAGACTAAATAAAATTAATAGATGTTTGTCTATTTTCATTCTCTGACCTTCTTTACATTAAATTTGCTGATGTGTAAGCTTTCTGGAAACTTCTGTCTAAACTGAAATTATGTTTTCAAGATACTATTTGTACAGTAATGATCTCAAATGAAACTAGTGAAATATTATGCTATGTAACCTTATTTTACCAATTAAGAAGAATATGGATTATTTTTCCCAAAACTACAAATTTAAGTAAGATATGAAGTGACATTTCTACAGTGCATAATACAACTATTTTAGCAACAATTTTCCAAATGTATGGATAAAACTCAAAACTCCAAATGCCACAATTTTACTCTTTTATTTCACTCCTAGCTTTATCTCAGGGAAAATATTTTTTAGAAAATTGGAATTTACTATGAGTAATTACCTAGTTGACAAAAACTCCACCTGTATTGAGGCCAAGGGGAAGAAAAATACAAAAATCAAAATATTAGTGTGTTTCAATGATAATAGCAATGCAAATGCACATTCCAATATTTAGTAGCAAGATGCACAACAAAATGGGTGTCACCTTCATTCTATAGTACCTCAAAAACAATGTGAAATTTGAAAACAATAATTACTATTATAATAGGAATGCTAAAATAATCCTATTTGTCATAGTTATTTAAACATATTTAGCCTCTTGTCAGCTTTCTGGTAAACTAAAGATAAATAGATATACATTTAAAAGCTAGAATTTAGGAGATTTTAAATATTGATTATAGAAAAATTGAGGGGATCATGCTTTATTGTTTGCTCCTTGGTTCAATGTTCACTTTTAATGACATAGGACCAAGCTGGTTGAGATTCTTATAAGATCTTCCTTTTTTTTACCTAATATTTGCCAAAGCAATCCTTATAAGACTATATCCTAAAGTATAGTTTTCCAATGATGAGTTTATAAAGAACCTTAGTGGCAGAAAATGTGGCCATGGAAAGTCTAGTAAGAAATTGGAATGGAGATATTGTAAAGTCTGAGGTTATTTATGATTTCAAAGAAAGGAAGAGTAAGTTCTAGGTGTGAATAGGAAGGTGAGAGTCAAGGTATGTGGTAAAGGAAAAATAAAAATATTATTCCTTTAGTGAAACAGGAGGAGAATTTCCCTATAAAATGTAAAACTGAGTTTGATTATCAAAGGGCATTCACAAACCCATTATGTGGGATTTTGTCAAGACAGCTTTTAGATAGCTGCCACAAAGAATATGCCTAGTAAACTATTTTATTTACCTTTTGCCCTGTTTATTAGTGGGATGTCATTGTGGCATCATGTAAAATAGTACTTACATTTGATCTGAAATTACCTTTGTGCTGACAAAATAAGTTGTGATGGCAGCCGTATTATGTACCATTTAAGCAGCACATGTTACTCAGTACCCTTTTATTCATTTTATGATTTAATAAACTCTTTCTTAATGTGCCATGTTTCAGATGAGTTAATATGTAGCAATTTTTATGATGCCAGAGTTTGTAACTGTGGCAGATAGCAAAATAAGTTTTACAACCTATTATTGGTCATCATGAATTCAGTTAAACTTTAACTTTGTTTTTAGCTTTTTGGTGTTAGGATAACGTGAGATTTTAAAACAAATATTGCTGGCAGAAAACCATGTTCCCTTTGAGAAACCAAAATTGATGCCTCTCAGTTTTGCTTCCTAAATCTTAATTTTAGTCCACATAGTAGACATTTTAGATTTAACCTAATGCTTTTTACAGTACTTTAGTATTTTCTATTTCTTGTCTTTTCCTACATCTTTTCACCTGTTACCCCCTATAGCACTGAAATGGTGTTTATTAATATAAATATATTTTAAATTTTGCCAGATGTTGCTTTGTTTCTTTTCTGTAATTGATCATATTAGATATACATTATGGTTTTCTTGGTTATTATTTTGTTTGACTGATAGGGTGTTTCTTAGAGAAAATTAAATATAGAAACCAGTTGGTGAAATTGTCTAAGTTAATGGTAGAATTAAAATTACTCTGTTATCCATATGAAAAGATATAACCAAATAAAGTTATAATCAAGGTCACTGAGATATTCTAGCACTGATTATAAAACTATTGAAATTAATGGAAGCTAATTAAAACAAAAAACTTATAGCTCAACATTTAAAAAGGCTTAAATACTAACCTACCATCATTAATGCAAAATGAAATGCATATTCCCTAAAGAAACCATGTTGATAAGAATTACTCACTAGAATTAAATTTTTTTCTTCCACTAATTTAGGTTATCATAACTTCCATGTATACAGAGGAGCTCTGTTTTGTAAGAGAGAGAAATGGATCAAAATAAAATATTTTTAAATCCCAGTCAATTGTCCAGGGAAAGGCCACATTGAGAACAGACGCACAGGGCCTGGTCTGTAGGTGTCCCATTTGTCTATCTGTCCAGTAGAACCTCCACAGTTGATCACCTCCTTACATTGCCTACTTCCTTAAGTTGACCTAATTTTTATAGACTGGATATATACCATATGTACGTGTTAACACACAAGGCCTAGTTCATCATATTGACCACCTTTGTTTGTTGACCGGTTTGTTATAGTCCCTTGTGTGGTCAACTTACAGAGGTTCTACTGTATTACATTTTATTTATTTTATTTTAATTATTTTTATTTATTTTTATTTTTGACACAAAGTCTTATTCTAGGTAGAGTGCTGTGGTGTCCTAGCTCACAGCAACCTCAAACTGTTGGGCTCAAGCATGATCCCCTTGCCTCAGCCTCCTGAGTAGCTAGACTGAGCAGGTACCCACAACAATGCCCAGCTAATTTTTCTATTTTTAGTAGATACAGGGCCTCACTTTTGCTTAGGCTGGTCTCAAAGTCCTGCGCTCAGGTGATCCACCCATCTCAGCCTCCCAGAGTGCTAGAGTTACAGATTTAAGTCACTGTGCCCAGCTTGTATTACATTTTAAAATATTATTTTGTGTTGTGGCTATTAGTATTTCATGGAATAAAACATATTTTGGTAGAAAAAGGATTGATTAATGTATATGTAACAAAGATTACCATTCTTTTGAATTTGAAATGTGCCACCAAATCTAATTCTAGAGAGCAGCCTAGAAAATGTGTGAAAATGTGTGCTTATGACAGGCCTTTATTCTCAATAATTATTCAACTGGTGCTTACCTTTGTTTATATGATCTTTTATCATTTCTTTTAGTTTCAAATATGGTTTCAAAGATTGTGGATTTCTCTCCTGCTGTGCCAGGAATTCTAGACACTATAAGAATATATTCCTGTTAGGTGGAGAGGAGTGTGTTGCTTTCATAAATTGTTGTTCAAGGGTGTGGTCACTAAAGTAAATGATTGTTCAGGGAAGTAGGCTCCCTAAAAAAAAGAATGTAGTCATAGGATAAAGGGGATGGGTTTTCAGTTTTGGTCATCCCTTTTGTGCTTACAATTAAAGGAAACTATAAAAATTTGGAATGCAACTAATTGCTGGGTGAAAATTCACATCGCAATTGTCTCTTGTTTAAGGAAGTTCTGGTAAATTGCTGGGCCTGTTTTCAGTCAATGGCACTTATAAGCTGTCATTCTGAGTGTGTGGGTGGAAAGGAGGCGGTGAAAGGGGAAGGGAGGAGAACTTTTCTTTTAATTGTTGTCCACATTTCTTTTCTCAACAATTTATGGTATAACAACTAGGAGATTTGCCAAGCTCTTAAACCCTATTTAAAACTAAAAATCTTTCTAAACAAATATATTTGAGCCAACTTTTCTTCACATAGGAGCTATCCCAACAGCTGTCTTTTTCTGGCTCCCAATGGAGTGTATATACAGTTCGTAAAGACAGAAAACATGCACTGCAAAGGGACTGTATATTTTTATTTTCTCTCCAAGGTTCCTTTAAGAAAGAAGAGGAAGAACCCAGAGTGATCCTCTTAAATGAGGGATTTGGGTTGGAGAGGAGGGATTGGAAAATAGTTCCATTATACTATGTTCTGTTGCTTTCTTTACATGACAACAGAATCAC